AAGTGAAAGTCAGTATACGAAACCACCAGTCTGGGTTATTAATGTTTAATGATCCAAGGAGAAGTTCAGCTATTACGTATTTTTTGTATATAAGCAGTTCCGAGACTACCAGTAAATCAGTTATATGTGATTACGTAGCCCAGCACGTCTTTATTGGCTGGTGAGCTTGACTAGTCTGTTAAACTTGATTAGAACTATCACTCAGTTGAGAAGTCGAGTTGTCTTCTTTTGGAAGGCTGCTTAACATCCTTTCTTTCAATCATGCATAACTAATTCTTGCTCAACTTTCTATCACCATTCCTCAAATTTGACGTATTCCCTAATCTATTAATTTTAATGCCTCCCTTATCTTGCGTTTTGCAGCATACATACCATACTCAACAACCCCTGCGTACGAGACCATTATATCACGTTTTCGTCATTTGTTCCGCCACTTCTGACCGTTCGGCCCAGTTACCTTTACAAGCATTTTTGTGCTCCGATAATCTTTGGAGGATCGGCCGACAGGTCTTGGCAACATAAGGCCGACCAGAGGTATATAGTCTTGTAGCAGCCGGGTCTTGATAGTGGGTCATATTTCTCTCCAAAATAAGGTATAAGCTAAACTAAGGAGTTTGGACTGGTGGTTTCGTATACAGACTTTCACGTGTATAGACTAAAATCTCATCAATTTGACCAGGGTTACTTACGGACTAACGCAATCCCAGTAATCCTTTTTTACCTGGGTCATTAAATCTTGATAACTCGGGGCTGCTGTCAAGCTTTTTCCTAATTACTCTGAGTTATGACCAGTTTTGCGTACAGAAGTTGACATACATACACACAGAGATACACTAGAGTATACGTGAATTAACCAGACCCTTAGACATCAATGTGTCTGAAATTTTGCTTGCAATGAGCCGGTTAGTCTTCTTGACTTAGTGTTAACTTGAGGTTTTTACAAGAATGAGTCACAGCTCTGACGATATTCGTCGCATGACGAACGATGTCTCGTGGGCTGCAGCAATCTGATGAGCGTCGTATTACGGCCAAACGACTGCAGTATAACGCGAACGAGCCAACATCTGGTGCGATTGATCTAAGGATCTCATCATGTACTTCCATGCAAAATGAAGGTCTTCACATCAATCTTACCCCAGGGGATTCTTCGAAACCCGCATTTTCTCCGTATATACGTGACTGCCCTGGCCTTGACAAATGGTTTTCACAATGCAAGCTTTTAATATAATCATATTGACTATGTCAAAATACCACTAGCACATCTTTAAACATACCATATTTGCCCAGGGTCACATAAGATAGTAAGAGACTACAACCCCCTACCACATTGTGCACCTGACTGCCAAAACTTGTAGTTATTTCATTGAATTGGCAACACTTATCTGCTCTTGCTTCTCAATTTATCCTCCCGACTTTTACCAACCAGTTTTGATACATCCTCGTCGCAACAAGCCAGTAAGCGAATAAGCTTTCGACTCAAACAACACCACTCATCTACACTGTCCAACGAGGACTAAGCGAGCCTAGCCACCGCACCGAGCCTCTCCATTGAACCTATCGCAACATGAAAGTACAAGTACTCAGGAGTATTTTTAAGCAAGAAACTCCTTGGACTCAAGGTTGTTTCTCAGCCGCTCCCTGTGAGTTGTTGTGAATCTAAGTGACACTTCGCAAGTTCACCCACGCAAAATAAAGTAGACAAATTGAATTCATCCGTGACTGTGGGCAGGAGAATATTGGCTAAACAAGAATAAGTCAGCATACGGATAAAATATGCTTTGCAAAACGACAGCAGGGAAAAGAGAAAAACAAAATACTAGCGAAGCCACCAGTATCCTTGCTGAAGGAAATTTTCCGAGCAGGAGATTGCAAGAAAACATAGAGACAACTTTGTTTATGGCTGAAGCAAACAGGTAAGATCAGCAAAAAGGAGATGCCCTAATCAATGGTCTAGCGTTACTCAATGGAAAATGTATTGCAAGGAAGGGAAATAGGTGGAAACCACGAGGAGTCTGCGGTGAGTGTGGCTAACTAATAGGCCTAAAATGATAATCAGCATCCATCACTTCGCTCATGGTCAATTAGTCCTTAAGCAAGGTTTAGAGACCAAGAACCCCAGAACCAACATAAAACGCGTTTATTCTCGGCTTCACGTGATGGCATCATATTGCCCAACCTGGAAGCTACTGAACTATGGCTTCTTCGAATATTAACCATTCAAATGCGCGCATCCTTCACATGAGTAATTATTTAATATGAGATAAGGGATGTGATGGGTTGAGAGAACATACTATGTGGTGTGATATGATGATATTTAATGAGGCAGAAATATAAGTAAGTTTAGATCAGAAAAAATGAGATTTGATAACATAAATTGAGTTGAGAAAGCAATACGAAAGATTAATTTCTGCCAAAATTACTTTAGTTATTAATGCTATGAAAATAATAAGTTAAATTCTTAACTATAAAAGCTTCAATACTGCTGTAATATCTTCTTGCTAAAAAACTATAAGGCATACATGTTTACCGACCTACCCGTGGAAGCCTAGGATAGTATTGTACCACAATCTTTATCTATACAATGGATCGGAAGTAGTTTTCCTGAATTGTTGCTAAAGCCGTAATTTAAATCTGGTTAACATATTTTGTCAGAATATGTTCTTGTCCCAAAATGCGATGCTATTTCCTTTAGGATTATTATTCTCCTTTAGTTTAATTCAAATCTGAAACGTAGCCCTTAGGAGAAACTTTGTGCAAAGGGCCTGAGGGCCATCATATCTTCTTATTTAAAACTCAAGTCCAGTATAAATTCTAGTTAGTCAAAATTATGCCGAGTTCGGATGCAGGTTTATAAATATTAAAACTCTAATTTGTTCTACATCTTAAGCTTCTAATGATAAAAAAAGATCTATAGATAATTCATCTACTTAATCAAACTCATAATCCAGACATTATCATTTAGCCTTCTCCTGAAATAAATAATAACTTATATGAGATGTACTGGTAGTCTCTAAACTTTACTTATACGAAAAATAAATAATAATTTATCTGAAATAGCAACGCAATTGACTATTACTAAGTATTTTTTAAAAATTAATCTAACTAATATTGCAACG